GTGCGTCTTGCTCTTTCTGCCAATAACCACACGCTGCGCGCGACAATATCCTCGTCACTGATGGACGCTGATGAGAGCGAGGAGCCCGAGGTGACGAGATGACGTGACGGCTGCGCTGGCACTGATGTGACGTCTCTGCTGTTGTCAACAAATGACAGCTGTCCTGTTTGCGAGCCTCCACCCGAAGGCCGAAGAAAACCTTTCGAGGATCGTTCAAATGCTGGTTAACCCGCGCCCCGTTGGGCTCTGCCGAGCAACGCGCCCCGTTGGGGGGGGGGGGCATTTTGCCCCCCCCCCTAAGATCTCGAGAACCACGCAACCTAGCGACAAGCGGCAAACGGTGTTGGATAGCCCTATCAGGGAATTACCTTGTGACCCAATTTTATTGACCTAGATCAAACCGATGACGTCACAGGTCAGGTCAAAGGTCCAGTTTTCACCGTTTACAGGCATTTCAAGAAATGCGTTGTAAAATCGAGTAAAATGCATTTCATTGAAAATCATCGATGGGGAAATGTTCTTCAAACACATATTTTGCTATTTGAGGTCACTGATACCAGGTCAGGTCACAGAGGTCAGGTCACTGGGGGGTCACAATATGAAAGTGTCGTGTGATACATGTTTTATGGTCCATTTTACATGACAAATGCGATTATGTGGGTCAGGCAGCCTTTGGGGCCAGCTTAGGTCACGTTTTGGTCAAGGTCAGGTAGAGGTCAGGTCAAGGTCAGGTCAAATTAGGTCAAATTTCAAAGTTGATATTTTTGCATAAAATGGGCATCGAATCGATGTAGCTCGTCACGGGGAGTTCAATGGTGGTCTTTGTTTTGCCGTACGTGGTCTAGACTCGCTAAAAATTGAGTTCAAAAATTTGACGTCATCATTTTTGAACAGTTTTTCGCTATAACTTGGCCAAAAAACGAGCTATCGATCTGAAATTTGGTATGTATATAGAAGAGCGCAGGGACTATCACATATATTCCGTTTTTTTCGAAATTCGGAAATTGTTTTTATTTTTTTAGTTTTTCTAAGAAATCAATTTTTTGAATTTTTGAGGGTCAAAAACCCAAAATTTTGAAAATCCGAGATAGCAGTTTTGTAGCGCCGCTTTTTGTCTACCAGACCATATAAAGAACTTTGAAATTGCTTGATAACTGTAGATTTGGTGAGCGTTTCAAGATTGCATGTTTTTTGCTCATTTTTGCTCGAACATGACCTCAGTTTGACCTCAATAACTCCTGACCTAAGGTGACCTAAGACTTGAAATTTGGTGCGAAGGTGTCAAATCGATGCCCGGGAAGGTACTGAAAAGTTGGCGGCGCTGCGCGCCGCCGTTTTCTTGCTATTCAGGAAAAACCACAGGGGAGGCCAAAATGCCCCCCCCCAACGGGGCGAGGGATAGTGGAAGGCAATTAGCTTATGCTCTGGCTTCAGGTCGTATGCATTTTGCCAGCGAGCCCCCTTGCCGGCGCCTGGTCAGTGGTCACGTGACATGACCTTGCCCGGGGTCAGAGACAGCCGACTCAGTCATCACAGGTCTGTCTACTATGGACCTACTCTAGCAAATGATCCAGTCATTATAATGGTATGGTCCTTAAGCCTACGGTTCACTGTGACTTGCATTGGGTACCTATACCTAATATCCCATCCACTATCCAGGCAAAGTTTGCCACGATATTATTTATATACACTGTGATTTCAACGCTTTAGGTAATCGCGTAAACGGTTCAGACTTCAGAGGTCTCAGGTCAGCAATCTTTTTCGGTGCCTGTTGGGTAAAGCCACGGCCCAAAAGGTAAAAACTATAGCCTGCAGGAAACGGTTTGGACGGTCCAGACAACCATGCCAAACAGTTGCGAATCATAAAAAAAAACAGTGGGATTACATGACAATAAATGCTCTGTTTGTATTTAGGGATCTACATGCATGTCGCGTACATACCACAGCAACAACACAGCACAAAAATGACCACCGTCTGCACAGTCGCAGCCCGGCTGAGCGGTGACACTCCTTCCGGCAAATGTCTGCGCCGCCCGGGGCGTTCAGTCGGCCACGGTCAGCTGGCGGTCTTTGCCCTCGGGAGTCGGGGATGAGTGGGGAGGAGGTAACACCGACCAGTGCATGGAGGTCGCCCCGGGCGGCAATCTCAACCCGTTTTTTACAAGCGTTTCTTGGAGCTAGTTTTCTGGTTTGTTTATCCATGTAATGTCTTACTTAATCCCTCAAGAAGAATTAATTAGAAATAGTGTTACAAATTGTCTTCAATTGACTTTTCTGTCCTATGTATTTCTTTGTTAAGTGTAAAAACCTATACATACCTCTATGAGTTGGCCAGAGTTTCCGACCCCGACATAGAAGCTGGTCGGCATAAGCATTACTGCAGTTCCGTTTCATGTCTTTATGCAACGTTTATCCTGCTAGTGCTGACAAAACAAAACGCGACAAAAAAGTAAAATGCACATGCTGTTTTATTGACTTAACCCTAGAACACCTAGGGGGGGGGTTGTATCAACCCCCCCCCCTGAGGTTTTTCGAAGTGCACGCTAAACGGCTTGTCGTAGCGGGCTGAAATTTTCAATACCCTCTGGGGCAACCTTTGCGCATCTTTTGCCGAAAAAAAATTGATCGGGTCATGTCAGGTCACGGAGTTATGACGTCATAAGAGGTACAGCCTCCGGCCGACAGTTACCAAACGTGTGCGCCGAATCCCTAGGTTTTCTGCCGGTGATACCCACATTGTTTGATGGATCATGATGAAACTTCCCATGCATGTTGGGGCAAGCATTGGCTATCGTGTGGTGCAAGAAAATTGACCGGGTCAGGTCAGGTCACGGAGCTATGACGTCACAAGAGGAACAGCGTCCGGTACTATTTTTGAAAAGCGCCCGAACCACTATTTTGCTAATTCTTGTCACCTCAATGGGAATATGCAGCAATATTAGCTTCTATAGGGAGCAAATGAACCTCCCAAATCCAAAAATACAATCAGATTTCAAAAATTTAAATTTTGATTTTTCGAATTTCTGCCGCCGACTGTGACCTTGCCGACTTCCGGCGCTCCCAACGCGCCATTTTTAGAGCTAGGGAAACGAAATACATACCAAACGATAGAGAATTGATCAAGGAACACGATAGTGAAGGTTTCAAGTCAATATCTCCCACCGTTTTGCCGCAATCGCCGCGGAAAGTTGAAAAAGTTTTATTTTTTCGGAAAATTTGACCTTTGACCGGTCATAAGTAGGTCAAATGTTGACTTCTTGTTATGACTGTTATGACTTCTTGCACTTGTATACCTTTTCGGGGTATTTTGATGCCCTGAATTCGAATTTGCTATCCATTTCAGGCATCGTCGGTTGTTTCTTGTAGTTCATTTTGGGTCAGGGTCAGGTCAGTGACGTCACACGCCTGACGTGACCCAATGCACAAATGACCTTGCAGACTTCCGATGCTCCCAACGCATCATTTTTAGAGTTATGACATCGAAATACACACCAAACGATAGAGAATTGACCATGGATCACGATAGTGAAGGTTTCAAGTCGATATATTTCTTAGGTACCGTTTTGCCGCAATCGGCGCGGAAATCTGAAAAAGCTAGATTTTCCGAAAATTTGACCTTTGACCGGTCATAAGTAGGTCAAATGTTGACCTAGGACCAAAAAATATACCACCAATCGCGAGATCTCGTTGAGAGAAATCCGTTGGTCTTTTCCGCTAAGCTCTACGACGCTCCGTTTTCAAACGCCAGGGGGGGGGGGGTCGCACCAACCCCCCCCCTGCATGGGCGAAGGTGGCAAAACACCGTTTACGGGCGAGGGTTAAGGTGTCATTGCGAGCCCAAGGCCAAAATAATGTCATACAGTACGACATCAGTCACTGCAACATTTATAGACAGCTGCGGCTGAGTGAGCGGCGATTTCTAAAATTCATGAGCAAGACAAGAAAGTGGGTCATGAAATGTACCTTTTATTGTTGTAGCATTCCTTCCGATCATACGACAATGATCCGCCCGCGACGTCTTCCTAGCACAGCTACACAACCGTCCAACGAATGGCGAATGCGCATTGGGCAGTCAAACACCGTTTAACTAACCGAATTTCATGGCAAGCGGCCCCTCGCGTTCCAACACGAAGAAGGCACCAGTTGCTTTCCGGAGCAGACAGTCTGGCTCCCTACTCGTAGGGGTCCTATATGGGTCCAATGCATCCATCTGCAACATCGTCATCATCACACAGCTGGGAATTTTATTACCTACGGTGATGAAAGCAAGAGGATCCACTCCAACTATGTATCTCTCTCTTTCTCCCTTTCTCTCTCTCTCTCTCTCTCTCTCTCTCTCTCTCTCTCTCTCTCTCTCTCTCTCTCTCTCTCTCTCTCTCTCTCTCTCTCTCTCTCTCTTTCTCTTTCTCTTTCTCTTTCTCTTTCTCTTTCTCTTTCTTTCTCTCTCTCTCTCTCTCTCTCTCTCTCTCTCTCTCTCTCTCTCTCTCTCTCTCTCTCTCTCTCTCTCTCTCTCTCTCTCTCTCTCTCTCTCTCTCTCGCTCTTCCAACCTTCGTAGAGAAATTGCGTTCCATGTCCGCGCCACTAGACAAACCCAAAAAAGTGATCAATAACACTAACAATTATCTACTAATTGACAGATACAATTTAAGAAGCCAGTGGCACATTTCTGCCGATGCTCGATTTCTAATAGATGTAAATGACGAGAAGAGACCTTGCAACGTTTCCTAAGCCTTGCGTATACCTACGTATATATGTATGTATATGATGTTTATTGTGCGCACATATCGTAAGCGGCTTATCGGTGTAAAACAAGTACCGCACTTGTTTTACAAGGTTTGAGCACTGTCAAAGAATATATGACATATATCATAGTCCAGGGACACTTTTCCTATTATAATTTTTTCACAATGAACGAGCGCACGCCGCACATACACTCATAAAATTACAATAAACTCTGAGGTAAAAACGAGTAGGTACCTCTTGCTACATTACAGCTGAGTCATGGATGGAGTTGTATTTCTGATCCATGGCACCAGTAAATAGTAATATCGAACACCCCAATACGCGTCAGACACGATCCGTGGCCTTGGGCAGTTGAGCGGGTGGCGGTCGGCTAGTCTAGTCGCCCCTGGCGTACAGGCTCCAGTAGATGCAGTTGAACGTGAAGAAGATGAGCGGGATGACGACGCGGCAGACGCGGTCCACCGCCTTGGCCTGCAGGATGTGCGTGACCTTCTTGGCGGGGCCGGTGGGACCGTGCGGCGCGCCGCCGCCCAGCGCTTCGGCCTCCTCCTTGGCGAAGAACATTTCCTTGACGCTCTTGCGCCGGTCGCCCTCGACCTTGCGCTTCTTGGCCAGGTAGTGCACGAGCACAAACTCGAGCAGCGCGCCGAACACGAATATCATGCACGTGCCGATCCAGATGTCAATAGCCTGCAGCAAAACGGGCACAAAATAGATCAGTTTACAGTGAAAATTCAATGAATAAAACATTGGCCCTGAACTGCTAGCATAAAGGCAAAAATAATAATAGAAAAGCGAAATGACTATCAGTGTCACTGTCCAAAGCAGGTGCACTAAATATAAAATACGGGAGGTCGCATATTTGCAAACGGCAATAATTTGTCGGCTAGTTTTATGACACGGGCAAAGGCCCAGGCCGTGACCTTCCCGCCCGAGTGTTCTGTCGCTTAGAGTCGTTAAGACGTACGCACCTTGAGGTAGGAGACGGGCGGCAGTTCGCTGCGCACGCCGGCCGCCAGTGAGGTCAGAGTCAGCAGCGTGGTCACGCCCAGGGTTACACTGCGGGAGCAGACACAGGCGTTTAAGTGAGCTCAGCAACTACACTATGGCTAGTCACATAGCTCGTTAAATAACCAAAATATTTCAGACGGCTACATAAACTGATCGACTTTGATAACATACAGCAGGTTTATATATCCCGTATCCGTAAGTCATAGGCCCAGCAGACAGCACCTTGGTCATAACCAGCATCCAGAGCTATGTTATGTCAGCTGTAATTCTGACAGTCATGGCGACTAGCTGACCAGAAAACTTCAAAGAGCCTGCACCTGTCTGTCAATGTTTGGAGTATACATAATGAAAAGCCTTCGATTTATATTCGAGGAATGCGAGGGACATGGCGTAAATACACAATCGCGGTATATGAAACGGTCTGTACGTCGTTTGTATATCTTAAATGACAGGTTCTATGTATATGTCTGTTTGTATTGATAATGAAGAGGCCTCTACCCAGGTGTCCATCCGACTGGTATTTGAAGGCCACTACCAGCGTATCCCGTCCGATTGGCACACAGAGGCACTGAGCAGCGAGTTCTGTCCGATTTGTAAACCAGGTCACTCAGGTCACTCACCCAGGTCACTCAGCCAGCGTCATTCACCCCGGTTTACACCCAGGTCACTCACCGGGCCGGAGTGGCCGTCTGCTCCAGCCAGAAGGAGACCCACGACATGCACACCATCAGCATGGTGGGGATGTACGTCTGCAGGATGTGGTAGCCGTTCTGGCGGTCCAGCACGAAGGACGCCGACAGGGCGCTAAAGTCGCCTGCCGGCAACATAGCATGACGTTACTAAAACGTTATGTACAGTTTATATACAGGCGCTAGGCATTATAATTTCAAGTCCACACCCCATTAGATTCATGAATAAATGTCATATTTCGAATGTCATATCGTAGGACAATGGCTGAAATTCTAAAAGATTTACGGGATGCATTACGATTGCAACTGAGCCATAAATTGCCGACCGTTTGAATAGGGTCAGTTTGGACAGGCGACCATTCAGATCTCCAGTCAGCCAGTCTGAAAGAACGTTTAAGAACATGAAGAGGCCACAGCTAAACCGAGTGCTTCACTCACCGGTGTGGTACTTGAGCGTGATGTTCTTCATGTCTCTGACGCCCGTCAGCGTGAACTGAGGGATCTCCAGCTCGTCGTAGCAGATGCCCTCACAGCCGTTGTTGCCCTGTGACCAGGCGAACAGGAGCGCCGACGTCGGGTGTGCGTCTGGAGCAATGCAATTAGATGCAGTCAGATCCAGTATATTTATATTGGATAAAAAAGATAAAGATGCAAACTGTGGTATAGATATCCGTGAATCTCAGGGTCGGCAACATTTGCGACCGCTGAACGTCGTTGAAGGCGACGCCGAACCAGTCGTGACCATACCATGCACTCCCTCAGGTCGATATATGTACTTTATGGGTTTAAAGCGCTTCGTTAATGTTGGCTATTCACGTTTGGTCTTCTGTTTTACTGCAGGGCTGCTCATTTTCCGGGACATATAAAGCACTGGAAGTCACACTGTAAAGGCCGTAAGCACTGGGATGTTGCTGGTAAACGACTGGAAACAGTCTGCAGGAAACGGGCTGAGCTAGCCAGGCAGTGGTGCGGGCTGCGAGCATCGACCTATGGCCACAACCCGACGAAAGTGCATGGCTAGGGATGGAAGCCAGTCGTTTGAAGCTTAGTCTGAAAAGACGAAATTGAGCATGAAACCCTTTTATATACTTATCTATTATCCACGACAAACTAAGGTCGTCAATAGGATTTATACTGTTAGCATAGGACAAAAACAGAATAGCAGGAGGCAATTCATCTTTTCTTTTAAGGATAAAAGATAGCAGCTGCTCCATTGTCAAGTAAACATTGGCACCTGCTATGGTGCACAGACAACGCAATGAATATTCTAGCAGTGCTGAGTCGTGGCGGCTCGTTATCGTTTCTAAGTCACCGTTTCCATTTTGGCACAACACAACAATTAACCAATGCTTTTCGTGTAATGAATCTGTGTTCGAGGAACTAGGAAGTCTGTATATAAATGCTGGAAACTTTCATTTTCTTGGAAATAAATGTTCTTGGAAATACCTGCTGAACTAACTCACAATGCACTACACACCCCGTAGTCACTGCCCATCCCCTCCCAGCCCCACCCGTGAGACCGCCATTGGTCTATACTCACTCTTCCCCTCGCGAGCTATACCCTCGCCCCCCTCGTCCATTTGAACGGCCTTCGTCTTCACGCGTCAGCTGCCGACGTGCTCAGGTAGCCAAGTGTGTTCACACATGCGTCTTTGTGCCGCCGCTAGCGATCCGATCCGTGCAACAAATAGCCCGCTTGATGAATGACATTCAGCGTCGTTAGTTACCGGTGTCATGTCAGGGGAGCTCGCCACGACACGGCGGCCCGCGAAGGTAGGCTGGAACTGCCACCAACACGGCCCACGACGGGTAATGGCTGGAGCCTCTGTATGGTGACCTAGCCGGCCTTCATGACCTCAGTGACCTGTGGGCTGTAAGTGTAATAGCTTCGACGCCCAGCTGCAGCGCTGCTCTAACTTCCATCGAATAGCATGTATGATATACAACGATCAAACCCGAGATTTAGGAAGAGTTTGTTGTTTCAATGCTTCAGGTATACTCCCACTGGCTTATATTCTTGCCGTTGTGGTTTTGAGCTGTGAGCCATTAGCTTGGACTGTGTATGACTGAACGCTAAATATTTATAGTCGATGAGCAAACGGAAGCCTAATGTTGAGGCTCAAATTCGTAAACAGGATGTAAACTGGGCGTTCAAGCTAGCCTGTAAACCTGGCAAGACCCACGATGACAAAACTGCACTCTGTTTCTGATTATCAGAAACCCTATGCTTCACCGGATGCATATTATTCTCAAAACCTGTGAGACCATGTTTGGCAAATGTTTGGTTCCCAGAGTTTGCGGCACATTTCAAGCACAAGTGTTTACAACACACGCGATTGACTAAATAGCGATTCCGTCAGCACGGGCGATAATGCCGATAGTGTTACTGCACTCATGCACCCGAGTTTACGAGTAACCTAGCCATCCTAAAAATTCTGTAGACATCCCATTCCAACTATCTGGCGTCCATTGCGTCGGTCCACCACGCTGTTGAACCTGGAGTTTCTTTCCAGCGGTCCATTCGGCTACAGAGATCGATGTATATGTCGATAATGATATCCCACTCGTATGATGTACATACAGCACCGCCCACCAGCGTCCTATACATCTACATGCACCAGCTGGCAATACATCAGTGATGCACGTCATCGCACTCATGTGGTGTAACCTAATAACAATAACTAATAAGCGGTATTACAATATAACAATAACTAATAAATGCACGTCCTCGCACTCATGTGGTGTATCCTAATAACAGTAACTAATAGGCGGTATTCATTTCATGCTCACCGTTGCTCGCTTATTTACCGTCTAAATGTATATTCCAGTGCCAGTCACAAAATAAAGAGGAAGTAACTACCACTAATATAATTCAATACACACACACACTACACATGCTGTCCATTTTCCTAGAAAGACATATTCACGGGAAACGACGTTATGAGAGCATATCGCGCTGCTAACGCGCTCCGCCGCACCGCGGCCCGGTCTGTTGAGCGGCTCAGTCCGCCTGTGGTATAGGCTGTGCCGCCGGGCTCGAGTGTACTGCGGTACAGTATACCACGGCAGGGTGTGAGTACTCCCTCGGCAGTCCTGCTTCTCCGTTTCAGTTTCAGCCGCGTGTAGACGATTATTTGCGAAATGAAATAAAAGTTAAATGCCTGACGCTTCGTAACCGTGCACTCTATGTACTTCACTTGCAACCAGACACTTTGATATGGGTTAACGTTTAAGGCAAATATAATAAGTAGGTATCACAAACTTCAAGACAATTTTACCTACTTATTTCATGGTTAGGCTGTAGGCCCTAGGCAATGGCATGTCTCGAGGTCTGTATAAGGGTCTATTAAGCATCTTGGTATTCTTTTCAGCGCTTTAGCATTGTCATCAAAAGCTAGCCCAAGCGTGTAGTGTAGTTAGCTCGAGACCGGAAAGTAGTCATTGCAAGATACGACGGACCTTTATGAGCGGCCGCCCGGTCTTCTTATTATTCCAATATTTTGAGCTCGGAACTCGATGGATGTGAGTGTGTGACAAACTCAACTCAGTGTCCTGTGCTACTCATCACTCGGCCGCCAGTTGAAACACTCGCGGTAATATCCGACGACATAACGCTATCTCGGTCATCTTGTCCGCTTTCCGTTCGATCTCGCTCTATGAGACGAAAGTTATGATGTTTTTTCCGAAACCGATATGCATTCGCCGATGTTTAATGCCAACGATCAATTCCAGGATCATATCAAAACCACACTCATTGCCAAAAAAACATCTGGCCCATTCAGCTGGGCTTCAGTCCTGTCAGCAACCATCGGCCTGTCGGCATTGATCATCACGTGGTTGACGAATCGGGTCTGCACTAATGCATTTCTTTGTGCCGCTGTCTGGCATTCGTCCCGCTGCCGTCTGCCGGCGCCGTCATCCAATCCCACGTCATCCGCTCCGACGTCATCCATCGCAGGTGGGTGCCGCGCCGACCGACACTCACCGACGCGGCTCTCCGGCACTCAAACCATCCATCCTCCGCGGCAGTCAGCGGGATCAGAGCAATCGTGTTCTCCGGAGACAGGCCATGCGGCTGCCAGCCGACCGTGGCGACGGGCCTACTCTGGACTGAGTCGGCCGAGCCGCCGACGGCCTGTCGCGCCGCTCTGCAATGCGACACGCCGTCGGCTGTCGGCCACGCAGTCCGGTGTCGGCTGGCACAGCCTCAGAGGGCCGCCTGCACCGCTCCTGACGGATGGAGAGCGCGCTCTGACGGGCGGGGGCGGCCGCCCCGGGTCAGCCCCCATCCGTCTCAGAGGCCAGACAGAGGGGTGATATGCGCCCCCTCCCCCTCCATCTGTCGGCCCGGCGCCACTCAGCCGAGAGGGATCACACGGGAGACCCCCTACTGTCAGCTGTTGCGCGCTTTTTGCTGAGTGCATCGCTATCATGGGATTAGAAAGATAAGGCTGACAGCCGCTAAGTCAATCGAGCTTTTTTCCACGATGAGTTGAGTGGCCAAGCAAAAAGCCGCCCTGGCAAGTATTTAGCCTCTACTCAATTAAGAACTTACATAATAACAACTCGCAAGTTACAATATCTTCCTTTAAGTAACTCGGCCCTAACATGTGAGTTGTGCATCGTGCAATGTGCAAGCTCGTAAGTTGTGAATACCGAATCCAATATTGCCAACTTAATTACATCGCCAAGAATTAGCATTGCTATTGACCTGCTATATTTACTTTCGCCCTGTTGATTATATAAGTGGCAATTAGAGTGACTTTCCTCGCAATCTGCTGAGGGGATGCAAATGATATGCTGAGTGTAACTTTCCGACGGCTAGGGAAACAAAGTCCGTTTACACGTAATGTTATCTGTTTCCGTGAATTGCTCATATAATTTCAGAAGGAATCTGTGTTTCAAGGAAACGTATTCTCCGCCCCCAAAAGTGCGTGAATGTTTCTCCAGTAGATTTTCCAATCGTTAGCTGTCCTCCTCAAGCTTAGATACCAAACAAAAGCGATCACGCCGTGGTGGGTTTGCCCAGCTCAAAATCTCAGCTCCCCGATGTCGGTAACTTGGCACGGTGCCAATCCAAGCCGCTACGGCCCACAATCGCCTGGGGCTACGCACGGTCGGCGTGGTACTACTCACAGGTAGCCAGCTTAATGTCACAGCGCTGAGAGTCCAGAGGGTAGCGCTGCAGATCCATCTGACAGGATAGTGACAGCTTCAGCCTGCAAACGTCAAACAGACATGATTTAACAGAAACGTTGAGATAAACGCACTGCATTTCTTTGTTTATTGACATGTGGAGACATCGAACCAAAGGGAGTTATATCGAGTCATTAGTTACCCTTGTTTCTAAAATCGTGGGCTTGAAATTAAGTGATGGCAATTTCCTACTAATTGCATCAAAGCATTGCAGACCTCCGCACCTATCTTCAGTGGCGTATCCAGGGGGGAGGCCAAGAGGCCATGGCCTCCCCCTTTGGCATCAAACATGCAAGTGGGCCCTTTGGGTCACTTGAGTGCAGTGACGTACCCAAGGGGGGCCACGGGGGCCCCGAGGGGCCCCTAGTTATCTGAGGGGCCCTTGGCTACCTAAGGGGCCCCTGGTTATCTGACAGGCCCCTGGTTGTCCGAGGGGCCCTGGTTATCTGAGGGGGCCCTGGTTACCTGAGGGGCCCGTGGTTATCTGAAGGAGTCCTGGTTACCTGAGGGGCCCTGGTTATCTGAGGGGCCCCTGCGCTACCCAAGGGGCCCCTGGTTATATGAGGGCCCCCTGATTACCTAAGGGGCCCTTAATTACCTGAGACCCCCTGGTTATCTGAGGGACCCCTGGTTACCTGAGGGGCCCCTGGTTATCTAAGGGACCCCCAGCTACCTGAGGGGTCTCTGATCCCTTGGATGGCCCCTGGCCAGTGTCCTGAAGAAACCCTGATCGCCCAAGGGGCCATGTTTACCCGGGGATTACCTGGTTATATGAAGGGCCCTGCAGTCACATGAAGGCATTTAGGTACCCGTGGAGCCCCTGGTATAACCGGCCCCCGGTTATCAGAAGGTCCCCTGGTCACCTGGTGGGCCCCTGGTCAACTGAAAGGCCCCTGGTCACCTGAGAGGCCCCTGATCACCTGAACAGCCCCTGATCACTTGGATTCAACGGCATAGCCAGGGGCGAGGGGCACATGTCCGTTATAAGGTTTATGGTCCCCTCGGGCCCGAGGGACCCTGCGGTGCCAATTGGCAGCAGAGGGTTCGCGCTGGCCAAGCTTCAACTGGAAAGGACACCACAGGGCTTGTGAGAACACCCCATGGTCTCTTGTGTAGTCACACTTATCTCCAGAAGGGCCCCACGCCGGGTTCTGGGGGACCTTGCCGGCCTCTGAGGGCCGTTGCCGGCCAATCAGGGATCAGCTGTAAGGGCCCCATACCCGTTTGTTATGGCTCCACGGTCCACACCAGTTTCTGATGGCCTTCACTGCCACCTCTAAGGGTCCCACACCAGTGCCTCTTAAGGGCCTACTTCGGTGGCTCTGAGGCGCCTCTGGCGCCTCCGAGGGCCCTAGGCCAGCGCATCTGACGACCACTTACCAGCGATTCTGAGGGCCTCCCGGCCTCTGAGGGTCCCTTGCCGGCCTATGAAGGGCCACCAGTAACTTTCAGGGTCAAACTGCGTCAAACTATCTTAAAATGTCATTTGATGGCCCTCATAGGCCAGCGTAGGGCCCTTAGAGGCCAAGGCTGAGCCCCCAGAGGCTAGCGTGGAGTCTTCAGAGGTCGCTTTGGCGGCCATAAAAAAGCTTAGACTTGAGCGTGGGACCCTTTGACGCTGGCGTAGAGCCCTAAGGAGCCAGCGCTCAGCCCTCTAAGGCCAGCGTGGGACCCTCTAAGGCCATTGTGGGGCCTTCTAAGGCCAGTGGGGGACCCTCTATGTCCAGCGTGGGGCCGTCGATGTCCAGCATTGGGTCTTTTAAGCCCAGAGACATGGGACCTTCTTAGGTCAGATTGAGGTCCATTGGCCACGGAGACCAGCTTGGGGCCCTCTGAAGACAATGTGGAGCCCTTTTAGGCAAGTGTGGGGCCCTCTGTGACCAGCGTGAACCCTCTGAAGCCAGCGTGGGGCCATCTGTCATCTGACTCCAGACTTGAGAGGCTGGTGCTTGGCCCTCAGAAGCCAGCGCGGGCCTTCATAGGCTGGCGTCGGGCCATTAGAGACCACCTCGAGGGCCTCGGCAGCCACTCTTCAGACCTTATGCATGTTTGGGACCCCTGAGGCCCTAAGGTAGGGGTGGCCCTTAAAGGCATGCGTGGGACCCTCAGGGGACATCGTGGGCTTCTAGAGACCGGCGTGGGTTCGAGAGCGGCATAGGGACATCCGAGCCTGACTCAAAGGCTCCCAAGAGCCAGCGGGGGGCCCTGTGAGGACAGCCATAGCTGAGGCCATTATGGGGCCCGGAGGCCAGCATGGTTCACTCTGTTGCCGGTGTGGGGCTTTCAGAGGCCAGAATGAGCCTTCAGAGGTCGGAGTGAGGCCAATGTGGGCGACATAGAGCCATCAGAGTCTAGATCAGAGCTCAAACCGAGTCGGGCCCTTCTAAAGTTAAGGGTACCAGCCCTCAACCAGCGCAAGACACTAAGAGACTGACATCTGCCCTTTGAAAAATGTTACAATCTTTAAAAAAAAAATTGGCAAAGACATTTTGCTTTTGATGATCTTTAGTGACCCTAGCGACGACCAAAGCAAAAAAAAAAAACTATATGCCTACTGCTGAAATAAATTGTACGCTACAGAGCTATCGATATCGATGCCTTTTTCACGTTTCAACATTTCATTTTTTAGATTGCCGAGTGTGCCTAAAAAGGCTCCCTCACATGGCAAAAGTGGCAAAGAACCGCACCTGGGCGTGAGTTAAGTACGCTATACTACTGGGGCCCCTAAGGTAAGGATGGGGCCCCTCGAGCAGGTTTGGCCTCCCCCTTTCCAAGATCCTGGATACGCCACTGCCTATCTTCGACGGCTTATTCAATACCGAATATCAACACAATGTTCCATCTTATGCGTGTCATCTGACGTTCGTATGAACGGCTATTTTTGCTGGTAAGTGTTACAAACACACTGCAGCAGTTTTTTGCTCTACTTACCGTATGCTGTAGAAGACCCGTCCGTCTTGGTACACCCTCATCAGCACGTTTGGCATCGTCACGTCGTGATATTTGGCGTCCTGTGGAAACGTTCACCGCTTAGGTCGCTATCTAAGCTACTGAGATGTTCGATGAATGGTGGCACAGCGTAATTGTTAATGTGTAAGCTGCTCAAATTGACGCTTCCAGTGCAATAAATACTGAGAGGTTCCTCTCAGCAAGCGATTCGGAATACGGTAGGTATATCGCAATAATGTTATATTTTAAATCTATATGCCACCTTATTGATTTGGAGAGGCCGATCGTTTTTAGTTTTCACCTTGAGATTGAGGAAGTACAGGTCGGGTGTCCACAGCTGATCGATGACGTTCTTTCTGCTGACGATGAGCATCTGGTTGGGGTCTCCCGGCACGCTGAGACGCTCGTCCAGCCACTGCTGCCGCAGGTAGATGTCCAGCTCGTAGTCCTGACGAACACAGGAGGGAAGAGAGAGCGGCCGGTAAGACGAGTGCTGGCACAGCCTCATGGCCCGCCCTCAGAATTCTGATCGACGTCAATTCTCGCTTATATCATCCACCTTTTATACAGTGGCTCACTCAAAAATAATTCCTTTATCAGGATCTAGAAATACGTCTAGGCAGGCGCGGATACAAGGGGGGGGGCCATGGGGGCCATGCCCCCCCCCCCTTGGCCGATTTTTTTTCAAAAATAAAATAAAAAGTTAAAAAGCTGAAAAGGGGGCCTCCTGAAAATAAAGTGGCCGAAATCCGATGAGTTTTTTTTTTTTTTTAACCTACCCACTTAGTTATTTCTTAGAAGACTAGCTGAGAAGACTTCTTTGTTAGAAGATTGGTAAAGCTTTTCATAACTTGGAGGTCTCTTATACTCACAGAGATGACCACTTTTACAGGGCCTCCTAACCTGCACAGAGGGCCTCCAAGCCTGCGCAGATGTCCTAACAAACACAAAATCTCTTAGCCTACACAGAGGCCTCCACTCGCATCCGAACAAAGGGCCTCCTAGCCAACACAGAGGGCCTCCTAACTCACACAGAAGGTCTCCTATCCTGCACAGAGGGACTCCAAGCCTGCACAGATATCCTCTTCGCCAACACAGGACCTCAATCTCCACAGAGGGCCTCCACTCGCATCCACACAAAGGGTCTCCAAGTCTGTACTGAGGGCCTGCGCTCGCATCTGCACAGAGGGCCTCCTAGCTATCACAGAGGGCTTCCTAGTTCACATACAAGGCCTCCTAGCAGGGGCGGATCCAGGGGGGGCGATAGGGACTATAGCGCCCCCCCCGGGCGACTTTCTCATTTTCTTTTTTTTTTGCAAAAAAAGCATGATAGGGGGCCCCCAAAAATAAAGTGGACGAAATCCAGGCTTAAACTTTTGGGGGTAGGTAGGGCCCCCATCGATGGGGGGCCCCCGATTCGGAATAGCCCCTCCCTTGGCAAAATGCTGGATCCGCCCCTGCGTCTAGGCATATTTGAAAGCCCGAAGATCGTTAGTTATGCCAAAAAAATCGTCACTTAATGCCGGCGACAAGGAAAACTAATTTGAAAATAGATGATCTTTCAGACTTTCGGTTCGTAGAAAAAAAAACAAAAAAAAACATGCCTAAACATAAATCCGCAGCAATCGATCAACAGTGTTGTTGTATATATATAGGTACTTATGCTTTAGTAAGAGTGACGGGCGTCTCGTTTTTCTTTTTCAGCTGCTTTGTATTGAGCAATAAAATCAATTTGGCCAATAAGAGCCAATGCTTTCAACCGCGATTAATCCGCACAAGATAATTATGAACTTTGCTAATCTAAAAGTTAACTCTGGTATTCCAAGTTTGCACACTTATTTGGTGCTGCTGTTGATGATCATTGATCATTCGCCTCCACTCAAGATCCTTTAGATCTGTCACTGAAGGGCTCATACACTTAATATATTGCCACATTTGCCTGCATTTAATGAGCACCAAACTACCGAGTACCAAAACATTGCAGTTCATCCGTCAATAGCGCAGCAGTTTGTCCGTGCAGTTCAGCTGTCTCGCTGAAACTACAAAACCTGAATGACAATCCTTCGCATACCGATCCGTTTTTATCACAGAGTATTGCATTTCCGCCTTTGAGTGTTCAGACCATGGCTTATCTCTCATTGATTGCAACAGAGGTGACCTTTATGGACCACAGCAATTGGTCGGATTGAACCACTTGCTGCGATTAACGATAACATGAATTGACGAGCACAACTTGCCAGTTGAGTGGCGTCGGAACACGGCCCAGCACTTCACTTGGGCAGCGGTCGGTGCCATGTTCCCAGCGGCCGACAAATAAACAGGCGGGCCAGGGCTGAGTGCCGCGGCCAGAGCCCCGCAGAGCCGCCGCCGGGCACTGACTTCTGGAATTATTCCCGAGTTGGAGCCGGCCAAAGCCGCGTCACGTCCGACACACAACTGAAAATATCTCAGCCGGGTTGGGTCGCATTTGGGGGCGAGAGTCGGCGGCCATCGACAAATGCTTTAGCATTTGCAGCCACTTAGAGGCCATTACCATGTTCAAAGTCTGCGAGGCCGCCGGGTTCAGTGACACTGGGAACGACATACGAGTGGAACCTCGCTGACAGCGCTGTCCGGAGCCGCCCGACGGGATGTAAGCTGCAACCATAAGGTCCTGTCTGTGGATAGCAAATGCAGAGAGGCATAATGACCATTCAAAGACACTCGGAAGTCAAGGTCTCCAGACCTGACGATAAGTCACGACTGAGAAACTGACAGACTCAGCCTTAGGTCCATTGACGGGCCGGTCTCTGCCATTCCCCATGACAGCCTAACCGGCGTAACTCTTTAGTTTTAACAGCCCGCTTTAGAACGGAGTATAGTCGGCATTTACGGCCGGTCTCAGACCAGACACCGCAGCGACCGTGTCCGAATGCTCTGCTCAGCAATCGCTCGTCGAAGATTGCCAGCAGACGACCGGGCGGGCGCTGCCGACCGCCCGGCCTGCCCGGACAATAACCGATCGCCTCGGCCAGTGCATGGCCTGCAGAAACCCGGCCAGTTCAGACCGATATGGTTGGTGATCTGTATACAAGACCTTTAACGCGCCAGTATGAATACCATGCAGTTTGGCATCAGTTCAGTGGATTTATAAAACAGACAACTAGCTGGACAAGCCACTGTTCACGAGCCAACATTTTAAGGAGATGAGGGCCAAGCATTGAACAGAGCTCGAATATGTTCATGACAAGGTCAGAATAAGGCGAGATTTGACAGACAGAGAGAACAGCAAACATTGATTGGAACATCGGGAGTGTTCATAAGCTATAAAGACCAAGCAGGCACTGAAACATAAAAAAATGACCAAGCAAAGCAAGGAAAGAAATAATAATTTACATCACTATAAAACACAGTCTCGCGGTCGCGACCTCTCGGTGGAAATGAAGTCTATAGTCATAGTCATTATAGTAATTATAGCCACTGTTCAAAATCAATGTGGCACTAGGCCACAACTGGTTACATGTCCACAATTTTGCAGTCATCATAGTCGATTAATGGCTTTTTGTAGTCTCTATGACAGCTCGTTTCTGTGCACGACTATCTACACCGCACACATCCACGATGTTTTTTATTAGCTCTTGCTCAGGTGTAGAGACGGCTGCGTTTGACGGTGAGGTAAGCCGTAGGCCCTGAACTGGCTGTCACAGACGTTTCAATCTCACAGCTGTGTGCCTTTGTTCGCGCGGCGACCACCCGGCCGGTATGGTTCGGTGAACTGCAGTGGTTTCACCATTTGGCGGCGAACCACGGCCCGGCGGTCACCGATTGGAGGGCCCCGGGGTCACCGAAAGCAGGGCCCCGGCGGTCATCTACCGGAGGACCCAGGGGGGCAAGCCTGTGCTGCGGTTGGTGGAGGGAGGGCCTACTATCTGCAGATGGCTACCTATCGCAGATCTAAACAATAAAACATGTCTTTCCATGAATTGATGTGTTCAAAACAAAAAATAGTGTCATAACCTGAAGTCTAATGTCGCTTTATATTTGGATGTAGATAAGGTGAATGAAGAATCTGAAATAATCTGAAGCACGCGGCGCATCCATCCCTGCTTCGGTGTCAGGACTCATGTCGCAGCAGTGCCCGAGTTCCACAAAGATAAAGCTGTCGCTCGCTCGGGGAACGGTAAATAAATAAGGATGGGCACGCCACCACAGAAAAATCAAGCTAGCAACTACTGTGCCTACATGAAAAGACTACATGAATAATAAATCTTTATAAAAACAAGTTTGATTGATTTGAAAAAAGAAGGGATGAAATGAAATGAGGACTGAGAAAATGATGAAATGAGGAGCGAATCTCGAGCAATATCAAGCCCGCGAAATTTAAACACTAAGCCCTAGCGTTGTTGAAGTTTTGCGCCATCTTCCGTCCAAGTACGGTCTTCTGGTGTGATCCCATCATCAAACACATCAGGCTTCAGGTGATAAAAGCACGATAGGGGAGGGCAGAGGGCAGAAACCGCCCAGCTGTCGGCCACCTTGAGCTGTCTGTCGAGCTACAGCGGGTGAGGGGTGGCGTGATGAGACCACTGTCGCTATGGGGGCATTCCACGTCAAATCGAACAAAAATCGGCTGTTTTGCACCTTACCATCAGCGATTTCATTATAAATTTGTGAGCGAGTTCCTGTGTGGCCCCGGACATTACATTGATGTTTTTTTGCACATTCTGACCACAGGTCTTCTAAATATAGGGCATCAAATTTTTACAAAAATGTTGCATCTTGATATTTTTGAACGACCATAACTTTGGTTGTACTTGTTTGATTTGAATGAAATAAACCTTACTGTTTACGTAATTTCTTAAGCATTTGTTTAGAATTGCACCTACTTAAATATATGACCTTAAATTTTCTTAACTCTGTTCTTAAGCACAACTATTGAAATAGCAAAAAACACGTCATCTTCGATTTGGCTCATTTTCATATATTTTATTGCCTACCATATTCTTAACAACATGTGAAAAAATTAGAGTGGGCCATTCATAAGTTTTGAAGAAAATTGCACATATGCAAACGTATGTTAGCACGCGCAGTGGAGGGTGAAGAGCGAATTTCGCCCACCCCTCCTGTTTTTCGCCAATATCTCATAAGATTAATGCGAAATTAATTATGGCTTCCTGTCAAGAATTGAATTGGACATCTCATCGTGCAAGCAATAAGAAAATCGGTTCACAACTGTTCTAGTAATAGCGGTGTAAAGTGAACATCCTGTCGCCGCAGCGACGCGGCGACTCGGCAGCCGGCGCCGACCGCTACGCGCCGCCTGAATTGTAGACTGTGCCGGGACGGAACGGAACGGTTCCGTCTTTACATCGCGCTCCCTACCGCTGATTGCGTTCGATTCGCGTCAAATTTTGTGAGAAGACTAAGAAATGTACAGGCAATCTTATGGTGAAATAATTTTGAAAATCGGTTGGTAAACAATTGAAATATGAACAAGTAAACACAAAATTGTGATTGCTGCGTTTCCCGCATCGGCCGAGCCCGCCTCAGCCGGCGACATGTTACTCTTAGCGGGCCTCTAACTGCCATATTTATTATTGGATTAACTAGAAATTCCCCATACATACTAAAGAATGTATGTTCTTTCGTAGAGTGAAGATCAAAAGACGTGAAGATATCGTTGCGTGATAATGTTTTCGTTGAATTTACTTCATGATGCATTTCCACACGGCTCAAAATTCACCGCAAAATGCCGTTTGCCTGAGACACTTTTACTATGGAACGTGAATGCTTGACTACGATGACTATGCATTTCCATTCTCGCAGAGTTTGGGATATCACTAATCAGCAATCATTCATTTCAGAAAGTGTACACAAGCAAGCATGTCTTGACTCTGTCTTTCAAGGTCACGCGCGGTTGCGTGATGTTGATGCATGAAAACGGCGTTTGCCGCGAAAGTTATGAATGGCCCACTCCAATTTTTTCACAGATGGTTAGGAACATTGTGACGGACATAATATGTAAAAATTACCCAAATCGAAGGTGACGTGTTTTTTGCTATTTAAATTTTTCTGCTTTAATTCAAGGTCAAATGCATTTCAAGGTCACTTCAATTTAATTTTATAATTAAAAATCAAAGCCTTATCAATTGCCTATAAGACCCTGTTAATATCATTTTGATATCAGAAAAGGAACCAGAGTTATAGCCATTTAAAAAATTGATGTGTGGCATTTTTCGCTATATTCGATGACCTATATCTCAGCGATACGTTATCAAATTTCGAAAATATTATACGTAACTCAGTTTTGAACCATGCCCAGTCTGCCTACAAATTTTCAGAAAAATCGAAGGGGATGACGGATTTCGGTGTTTGATTTGACGTGGAATGCCCCTATGGAACAGTTCGGTGGGCCAGTGCCAAAGATCACACCACCATGCGACTAAATATGCCCGAATGTGCAATTAAGTTTTAGTGGAATGCATATGAAGCACAAGACACAGATGGAGGCAATATATGCCTCCATGAAAAATTTCGTAAATGTTGTACATAATAACAAACACCTGGCATTTGCATCACTTGAAGCAGCCTTTTCCTTCAAAATCGGGTGTTCTTTGAAACTAACCGCTGTACCCTCAAACGCATGGCAGAACAGACATTTTGAAGAACTCATTGTTCGTGAACTGTGTCGTGTGGGTAGGATAAGTAGCGGCCTTGGGTTAAGGATTGCCTATCCGTAGCGTGTTGACTGCTCACTGCTCGCTTCTCAAGCATTTAATGCTGCAATATCGTGCACTTTCCTTCGATAAACTCGCGAGCTGACATAGGCAGCGGCGATCGCTGTCAAAGGTGCAACCCATAAGAGCATGGGTGGAGAATGTTTGAAAAAGTTACCCCGGCCGGCGACCGATAGTCGCGGGAAGACGATATACTCACGTTGTTCTCAACGGTCATCATCAAACCCCTATTCTGACGCATGGAATAGGATGCTGTGTTTGCTCAAGGATGAGCGTTGTATCCGACACCGTATTATTCAGAACATTTTTGGAATGATCGAAAAGGCAATTTCCTTTTAAATTATTATTTCTTTTTGCTTAAACTTGCAATTTCACACCGAACCCAAACCAAACCATATGCCATTTTGAGTACCTACCTAAATGTTGCGTTTTCAGCTTTTTATTGTGTCTCAAAATAGCTACAAAAAGACAACTCACCATAGTAGAAGCTTTACAGAGAAATTGACAGATCGAACCAAGCAAAGCACTAAAATAGGTCACTGACATCCACGGGCGTAGCCTTTTTAAATGTTGGGCGGCTCTTATAATACAAACAGGGAGTCGATCCAGGAATATCGACCGGTCCCGGTCTCGTAGCTCAGTTGCTAGAGCGTTGGATTCCGCGTGGCGAGAGCACGCGGCCCGGTTACAACAGTCCGAGTTCGAAGCATGATGGCCGCTCGGTGTTTATGAGCACCCTGACGGGTACGCTCATAAACGGGTGTGGTTGCGGTTGGTGGCAGGTCAGTTGTTAAGGCAATGAGGTCAAGCAGTAGTTTTGAAAAAGTGCGCCGAAGGCGCGCCAAAATTTCGAAACTGAACAGGATTTGAGAGCAATCTTGGCATTGGCGACCACACGCGGGTCTTAGGGTTGGAGATTATGACAAGTTAAGTAACTGGTAAATACCTACCTGATTTGCAATATTACGCCCATGGAAGTCAACATTCGAAGAGCGTGAGTTTTCTTTTCTCGTATGGAGACAGCTTTTAGGATTTACAAGAGTAGAAAAGTTACCCCGGCCGCGCCGGGGTAGGCTGAAAGTTACCCCGGCCACGGCCGGGGTGGCCGGGGCAGGTTCTCCACCCATGCATAAGAGTCGTGTTATTTACGACTGCTGCTGAAGTTCATGGAAGCGGAACATGCATGTCGCCCATTTACACGACCTTACGTGAGTAACGTCCACTCACATTGTTGAGTGTTGAATTCAGAGAGGGAAGAAAGTAGCCATGGATTTCAAACATGGCGATAAATGTCTAATTGTCCTAGCGCTATCTAGCTGATGACGGTACAGGTAGACGAGTTATTAGTTATTATAGAATGACAAGGTAACCAGCTTTTCTAATTTTCCCGGAAATAAAAAACCTGAATCAGCCTATACCTATGCCAGAAACACTTTGACTTGCCATTCGGTAAATTTGTTGCGTTAGGAGTTGATACCTCCGGACCGGCCTACATAAGTCTGTGTTTGTGTGTATGTATAGATCTATCTACCTGTCTTTCTGTGCGTCCTTAACTCTCCCGCGAGATCTCCGACCGGTCCGCTGATCACGACTGAGCCGCGCGTCTCTGGAAACCTGCCAGTCGGCTCTCACGGCCGACACACGGAGGGACGGAGTGGACTCTCACACCGTCGTCCGTCACGGCAAGGACAGAAACGGCGCAGAGGCGGCAAATAACCTGCCCATCAGGTCTCTGCGAAGACAAATTTCACTTATTTGTGGGCGCGCGCTGCACCACATGCGCGTCTTTATTTCAGGAATAGCCTGGTGTTTCCGCAGCCTTCTGTAATGTTTGTTGTTTCACCGCGCTCTCAGATGCAGCGCAGGTGTGCAACACTGCAACACTGCCGCACACCGAGCCTTACATTACAGCTGAGGGATCAATGGCCACATTGAAACGTTGCACAACGGCACAACGACACACTCTTGCCTCATCAACGTCGATCGGCGAACCTATTAAAATTGCAGCTTTGTTCTGCTACATTATCTTCTGAATTGAAACAACAGAGTTTAAAACTATTTTTACCACATGCAGAGTGGTCAAAGAGCACATGGAACGCTCTAAGTAGTCTAACCATGCGCCTAAACTGAATTAGGTAGGTATAGCAGACTAATGAGCTGGTTTGGTCAGCTTATTGCTTAGTTTTAAATCAATTTATGTATTTTTCATATATGATCATTTATCATCAGTTACCGTGGCAAAAGCGAGTCACATTCTGGGAACTTTCCGCTCAATTTGTTCCTTGACAGCATGAAACCATTTACACTTGTCCGCAGGATCTTCACCAAACACACCATTTGTTAATGACCGCCCCTGGCCTGTTAGTTGTTACTTCACTGTCGCGAATTTTGCGGAACCTCTTCCGACGGAGCCGTCACTCCGGTGGACTCCGGTGTACATTTCTGATTTATGTCACGGCTGAAACCCATGGGCCTGCACGCCGACTGATGCCGCTAGTGGAGGACTCGTCAGTCTTCAGCTTAGTCAAGTGGCGTGCGGATCCGGCAAAACATATTTGATGTTCATGATAATACAAAATAATTGTAATAGCTGGGTAGGTAGCGAATTCCCAGCGCTTACCGTAAAAAACCGTTCAACCCCAGCTCAAGGTTCAAATGAAGCCATCTATCTTTAATTATAGCTAAATTTTTACATTTGAATATTTTTCGTTGACGAAGTTTGACGTAAATGTGATCTGGAGAAAAAAGTTATAATCGTCTTTCTCTTCCAAATAACTAAATGCTTTAGTCAGTTCCATAGCTGGGAAGCAATTCTGGCTAAATATCTTCATGGCCGACTTTGCTCAGCGGGCTGACCTGACCCGGTTACCCTCCCCCCCCCCCCAAGCGACCCGCACAGGGCCGGATTCCTCACCATGGTCGCCGCTCGAGGTGCGCCAAAACTGTTGACGAAAATGCTGATGTTGACCCGCGTGGGTGCATCTGAAACAAAGCACGACGTGCCGGGTTAATAACTCGCCACACATGTCCGCCATGAAGAGAAATGCGTCGCTGGTATGTGTGTCTGAGGATAGCTGGAAACGTGGTGCCATCCTGAGGAGTGCAGTCGGCGCCGTGACTGATCCTGAGCCAGCTGAGCCGGGCCCTATGAGTCGCGTCTCCACAGGTGTCATCTGACTCTTGTAGTCCATACATCACCGTTTCGCCGGCAGAGCGTTGACGGTTGGGCAAACACGCCGCAACCGTTCGTCTCCGTCTCTCACGGCGCGGCTGACAGGTCGTTTCGATCGGGCCGCCGGGCCGCTGACGCACGAATGAGCTAAGACAGCCTACAACACACCCATCATCGCCCAGGTTATTGGCTCTCATGGCCGCTCTCCAAGTGAATCAGTTCGACATTCATTGGACGTTATCGTCAGTTACTTTTATCGTTAAGGTGGACGGTTCAAACGCGGCCTATCACATTGAAATGTTCCTGGTGTACATATAAGGTCAGAGTGAGGAGATGGCCATTGACCAGGACGGGTCAAAAGTAAAGTCACTGTTCCGCGTAGCTAGTTGACTTTCATCCCAATACATACAGTCGGACGTTGGAGACTGAATGTCGTTTAATTTAGGCTAATGAGTGCTAAATTCGCATGCCTACTTTGAAATAAATCATCATGCAACTGAGTGGTGTGTGCATATCTGTAGCTGCTCTTGGCAGCTCGCGCACAGCTCTGAGCTCCTCCATCATCTGCGTCACCTTTGCGTCAGTCCTTCGGCCCCGCTGGCAGCCAGGTGGCGTCAGTCACCCGGCTGCAGGACTGCAGGACTGAGGCCGCCGAGCATGGCCTCGCGTCCAGTCGTAACGGCTCCCTCCCGGCTCGTGCCGCGCTAATTAGGCGGGACTTCACAGCGTCCCGGTGACAGGGACAGTGAGCTGACAAACGGTAATCGCAGTCGCCGCCACCGCAGCGGCTGGCGCTGTGGCCCTCGCAGCCGGCCAGTTTTTTTTTAGAATGGGTGCATTGTGCAATGTGCATGGGTGTTGGCCTGTACGGATTTCCGCGGGTTTTTACAAACAGACAGGCTTATACTTTGCTATTGAATACCTACTTAAAATGGGTGCTGGCGAGTCGCTGGTAATTACGGCACACCGATTAATGTAAATAAAAACGAATGGGTCAAGGCTCGTTGTCTCTTCTACATCTTTTCTTCCTCCCCCCTCTCTCTCTCCCTCTCTCCCTCTCTCTCGCGCGCGCATGGTGCGAATATACGCTGGAGGCAGCACGGAACTCTCGGCATGCCACCGCTAAATAATGTCGTCAAGTGCGTCTCTCGCATGTTTGCTGGCGAAACGGAATGTAGTGCCAATATCACGGTTGCTGCAGAAAGTCAACATCAGTCATTTTTCAATTTTTATCATATGTTTTCACTGAACTCTAGATGAATGTCTGGCAAGCTGAAAACTCAAATTTTGTACATCTTCTGAAATATAATGACTTCTGTATTAAAAAAAAAAAATACAGACGGGACTATTCTCCAGCTCACTGCATCTTCCCTATACCAACAGACATACGAGAGTTTTCACCACGGCCATCCATTAGTCCACGAAAGTACTACCTATGTGAGTTTTCACCACTGTACCGCCCACAGTAAGCGCACCGGCATTAGGTGAAGCCGTCAGCCCTCAGTCCACTCTCTCATCGGTCAATTGGTCGGGGGCGGCACTGGCGCGCCGCTCGGTCGCGGCAGACAGGTGACCGGTCAGCGGCTGATGTGGCCGGCACGCGGCGCTCACCGCTGTCGGAGGGACACTCGCTGTCCGACAGCCGCCCGAGACAGCTGTCCGCGAGTCCGGACACGAGCGACGCGGATTATCTTCGACGGGTGCCACCGCCGGTGCCGGCGGCGACAGCGCTCATCGCCCAGATAAATAACTCGCTAAGCTGAGTGTACAGCGCGGCGCAGTGGGACGGTCGGCTGCCCGGAACCGCGGGATGAGCCGCCCGCCCCGGAGCTGTGGGCTGAGCTGCTCAGAGCAGTACCGACTGAGCTGCTCAGAGCTGGTGGGCTGAGCTGCTCAGAGCTGCCCACTGAGCTGCCCGGAGCTGCGAGCTGAGCTGCTCAGAGCTGCCGACTGAGCTGCTCAGAGCTGGTGAGCTGAGCTGCCCGGAATTGTTCGGTTGAGATGCCCGCTTCTCCCTGAAACTCCTGGTCGAGCTGTCTGGATCTTCAGAAGCTTTCAGCATGCGCTGAATGCTAATTCCATCCGATTTGCTTGAAACAACTTACGAAAATGTCCAAAATTACCGGCTGAACTGCCTAAAAAAAACTGATTCCGATGGCTAGAAAGGTCCGCTGATGTGCCTACGTCGCAACTTACACCATGCGACACTAGTAACGCATTTAAATGAAATGGTTTAAACTATTGACCATTCACATGTACATATTATTTCTGCATGATGGGGTACAATTGTGCGAGAAGAAATAAAGCATATCCTGCAGACTGCCTTCACATGACCACCATCCAATGGTTAAAAGTATCGAGTGACGCGTAACTAATGTCATCCAACGTTAAAGGGACCCTCCCACCTTCAAAAAAGTTAATGAATTGGCATGAAAGTGATGTCGCTCGGTTCAGAAAGAGCAAAAACGAATATCTACCAAATTTCATCGAAAAATATTCACCGGTTTTCAAGATATTAGACTTTTACTTTTTTTTGGGATCTCCGCTGTTCCTAGCGACTTTATTTGAAAGTGCGGCATTTGTTGCGCGCAAAGCAGCATATACCACCGCGTGCTACAAAACGTTTTAGTCAAACATTTAACGGACGTTCGAAAGCCTGATGACGTCATCAGATTCCCGTAATGGTTAAGAGATAGGGACCACGCTGGTCCCACCCTGCAAGTAAAGGGAAGAAATTTCTTGAACACCATAAAGCTGCGGGGGTTGCGACCAGGATAAATGGTGGTTTCTGAGCCTGGCCGCAAACTTGGCTATCTCAACTCAAAACTAATGTTAAGGTGGGAGGGTCCCTTTAATGTGAATGGTATGTGCCGCATACTACGACGACTGTTTGAAATAGATAAACGCTATGAAACATGGCTTTCATTGACTCAAATAGCTTTAAATAGCAATTGAATACTGTCGACCTGGAAAGATCCGGGCAAAATAATCACTAAAACATAAAACTGCATTGAAATTAGTCATTAGGGGAGAGTGGGGTGGGTTGTATCAGTTTTTACTCCGAGGCCCATAATCTCGTAACTATCCGTAATAAACTAATTATTTCCATACTATCTTCTTCCTTGATTCTTCTGCTTTTTTGTGCAAAGTAACTTTTCGGCTACCTCTACCTGTTTTTCTTCTACGGTCTGCCGAATAGAACAATGTTTTTGATACAACTTGCCCCATGGCTTGGGTGAGTTGTATCACATGGTGGGGTAATTTGTATCACTATTTCACGTTTCAGGGAGTGTGCTTGCTACTGGTTTTGAACATAACAACAACATTAAATGGGGTTAATACAATGTATATGCTCAAAGGCTTCACTTTTATTAGACCAAACTTAGGTCAATCCGAACGAAACATCGAAACGAACGAAACATCAACAGACTAGACGCAAAAGTGGCCCGTTAAGAGCAAAGAAGCCAACACATTGTGCCGAAATGGAACGAGTATTGACTAGCTACCTACAAACGCGAGCCAGGGCTTAGCTTTCGCGATCAAAAGCAACATACCCATACATACATACATACATACATACATGTTACAACATACCCCACCCGGCTCTGATACAACATGTACCTCGCCGCCATCTTGGAAAAAACATCCTCGTGCTCAAAAACAGCGGACAGCTGGATAAATCCATTTTCACTCACGCAGCCTTAGAACCTATACCCTCACCACCGCTACGGAGATCTTTCAAATTCGTGCACATCTAAATGCCCAAAACACACATTTTCTTGCAACTTATTTTTTTAGAATGACATTAAAAACACATAAAATCGGCTCTCACCTCGAGACGCGTCCACCCAGCCACACGACAGAACAGGGAAAGATGGCGCCCGGAAAACCCCGTCGGCTGGTCGTGTCACGAGCGTCATCTATTGGATAAGTTTGGCACAATTCGCCCTGATACAACTTGGACATGATACAACTCTCCCCGCTCTCCCCTACCAAAGACCAATTGATTTTGAATATGCATGCACCATATATCTCTGATAGCTTATCAGCGGCGTCGTCCTAATGGAATCGAATACCAGCGTTCACGATAGAGTTCTGCACGGCTGCAATTTTCCACAGCCTAGCCGCCCCGCAGCCGTGGCTCCACAGCCACAGCCGCCCACAGCCGTGGCAAACTGTGGGCAGCCAGCCGTCAGCCGGCCGTGAATACTTTAAATGAAATGCAACCAAATAGTATATAATAAGTTGTTTTTGGTTGAAACATATAGCCAAAAGCACATTGCAATGGGCTATAGATTCTCAAGCTCATGAAGCATCATAGGTTAAGTGGTTGTGTATCTGGCTTTAGGCTGAAGGCCTGAAGCCTGATGCGCAACGCATGCCTACACAAGCCCTTGCAAGGGGTTAAGAAAAATGGTTAGGTAGGTACCTACATCAACAGAAAACATAAACAACGAACCAGAATAGAAGCACTAGCAGTGTAGACATCTAATGCCAAATCCTGAAGCATGGTTGTGGGACAGAACGACAGACCCTGATGCTTTTCATTATCAATGTTAGGTATGGAAAATGAAACTGAAGTTGATGGACTGTCAAACAGTGATTGTCTAGTCAAAACTCTTGCTTCTTTCTTACCTTGCATATTTTCTGGGGTGTGATATTGATATGCCAGGCTTGAAGCAGCCTTGTGAGCAAGTCTCAAACTAATTTGATATGCAAGGCATCAAAACACTAGGGAGCATCCAAGAAAGAAAAATATTGATCTATTTTGATTTTTCCAAATAATGATCTTCGCTCAAATCCCCAAGGACGTGCGAGCCACAGTTGCCTCTTTCAATCAAAAATTTTATTTGAGTTGTTAATGACGTCAATAGCATAGAAGTGGCAATAAAAATTGTTTTGTGTCACTATAGACAGCCATAAAATTTATATTTGCTTAATAATAATGCCAAACAGTTAAAAATTTGCTCTCAAACAAAGATTGAGTATCAAATTTTAACATTTTCAGAAGAAGACGTCATTTTATTAGTAAAGTCAACAGCTCGCGTAAGAAATATTGTGTTCAGGGTTTTCACCGTCATGTGAATTACGTGTTCAGGGTTTTCACCATCATATGAATTAACCGTGAGTAAGGTTCATGCTCACTTATAATCTAATTCCATTGGCTTCGTTGATCAGCATTTTCTGTTAGCGGTCACTCACACACCAGTTAGAACATAAAACGCCAGTTTTATATTATGTAATTGGACTTGCCGAAAATCCAGAAATACATCTAAGAGTTATTTAAGATAATATTTTTATGAAGCCTTTACCTGCCTTTGCCTAGGCGTAATTTCTTTTTCTATTACCTGAAAGAATTATTGAATGCTCGTCTTCAATAGCTGTAAGGTGCTCTCCTAATGACCAGGTGAGATTGATTTGAGAGGTATGTGACAATGCAACATGTTGGATTTTCTGAAACTCAAACTGTCAAGCTCTTGATGATGAAGGAACAATTGGTACCTATAATTAGTATTCTGTACCAGAGTGCAAACTCCCCTACAGCAAATGGTAAAACCATTACAGGTTTTCAAAGGCTTCACCACTTTCAATGTTGCTGGGCATCCTTTGCATGATTTTTACAGGCTAGCCTGCTTATCAGAATTTAAGATTAAGGATTTAGAATTTTATATTTGAGTACTTAAGATTGAGCTTGAAATCTCACAGCCGTGGCCACAGCCGTAGCCGTGTTCTTGGAGATATTTGCAGCCGCCCCGGCCCACAGCCGTGGGGCTGCAGCCAGCCGCGGCTGCAGCCGGCCGGTGCAGACCTCGACAATGCTAATTTCATATTCCAGTTATTGCGTTGTTGCCATGGGTGGAGAATGTTTGAAAAAGTTACCCCGGCCGGCGACCGATAGTCGCGGGAAGACGATATACTCACGTTGTTCTCAACGGTCATCATCAAACCCCTATTCTGACGCATGGAATAGGATGCTGTGTTTGTTCAAGGATGAGCGTTGAATCCGACACCGTATTATTCAAAACATTTTTGGAATGATCGAAAAGGCAATTTCCTTTTAAATTATTATTTCTTTTTACTTAAACTTTCAATTTCACACCGAACCCAAACCAAACCATATGCCATTTTGAGTACCTAAATGTTGCGTTTTCAGCTTTTTATTGTGTCTCAAAATAGCTACAAAAAGACAACTCACCATAGTAGAAGCTTTACAGATAAATTGACAGATCGAACCATAGCAAAGCACTACAATAGGTCACTGACATCCACGGGCGTAGCCTTTTTCAATGTTGGACGGCTCTTATAATACAAACATGGAGTCGATCCAGGAATATCGACCGGTCCCGGTCTCGTAGCTCAGTTGCTAGAGCGTTGGATTCCGCGTGGCGAGAGCACGCGGCCCGGTTACAACAGTCCGAGTTCGAAGCATGATGGCCGCTCGGTGTTTATGAGCACCCTGACGGGTGCGCTCATAAACGGGTGTGGTTGCGGTTGGTGGCAGGTCAGTCGAAGGCAACGAGGTTAAGCAGTGGTTTTAAAAAAGTGCGCCGAAGGCGCGACAAAATTTCGAAACTGAACAGGATGTGAGAGCAATCTTGGCATTGGCGACCACACGCGGGTCTTAGGGTTGGAGATTATGGCAAGTTAAGTAAATGGTAAATACCTACCTGATTTGCAATATTACGCCCATGGAAGTCAACATTTGAAGAGCGTGAGTTTTCTTTTCTCGTATGGAGACAGCTTTTAGGATTTACAAGAGTAGAAAAGTTACCCCGGCCGCGCCGGGGTAGGCTGAAAGTTACCCCGGCCACGGCCGGGGTGGCCGGGACAGGTTCTCCACCCATGGTTGTTGCGGCATCCATCATAAAGTTTGTAAACCAAATACAAGATCGATATAAACATATACGTTTCATACGACGAAAAAAGCACACTACTTGACAAACATACAACTGCTGCTATAGACATCGTCCATTGCATGTGTAATATGTATCCATCTGCACTCTGCAGTATTCATCGTGTAAACGGCTCGGAGTTCATATTCAATGGCAACAACAAGTGGTGAAGAAAACGTTTAGCATGGCTGCACGATCCAATAGCGTTTTCACGACGGGCTATCTGGTGAGGGCACCTAATTTGACCGAATCTGCAAATCTCTTTTACAATAAATACCTTCGTATCTTGAATTTATTTCAGTACTTTACTACAAAATAATGAATGATGATGTGTAAGTGAGGTATATAAGCATCTGTGCAGCCCAAAGTGATAACTTTCAAGAAACACACTGAACCTAATTTGACCAAATCTGCACCAAATCTTCACCTAGTCTGTACCAAATGTGTACCAGATGGCCGTCATGAAAACGGCTATTATCCCTCACAGGTCCATGACGTTATCCTGTGCTTACCTGGTGACTGACTGTAGGTAGGCCACTGGTTGGAGTCATAATTGACCGCCTTCAGTCTGTTGAGCAGAACCTCGAGGGTGAATGTACTGGGCAGACTGAAAATCAAGGAAACCCTGTAAACACACAGAAATAGAGATTGCTGGATCTCTCGGATGTAAATGTAAGCGACGTTTACACACAATTAGCAATGTAGCACTTCTGCGTCAAAACGGTGATGGGTTATGATAGAAGCTGAACAGATAATTTAGAACGTGGACTTGCACTGAATACGACAGTGGTTAACACATACAAACATTGAAACAGGCGAAAAATTAACGGATTGAAGAAAAACATAGCTAAGTGAAAGTTTTAGAGGATAATGCAAAACGAACAAACGAATGCCCCATAGACAAGCGGAGGATCAGCACGACCAGACAACTGATGGAGAAATACATTCACACATACAAACAGCATGCAGGACAGAGGTATACGCACGTAAACATAGGACACCGGGGAGGTATTCTCTGTTTTCCCCGGGTACGGCTGCGGAGGTTCTCCGCCGAATATTTTGAGGTTCTGACGCCACCCCGGCCAGGCCATCCACGTGCCGGCGACTCACGTGGATGGCCTCACGGCGACGGCGACGTTTTTAAAAAGGGTGTGTGTCATGTGGTGCATGTCGCGTAGCGTGCAGACATCCAGCGACTTTTTGGTTTCTCTCTTTGATATTTTCGTCTAGATAACCGAGAAATGATATGCCAAACCGATCGGTTATTTATACCTAGCCTACTTATGATGTCTTTAGTCGCTTGTCCTGTCCCAAGTCAATATAAGCACAGCACACATGACGGTCGCTTCGGAGATATCCGCATCGTTTGCCTCCATCGCTTTTGCAGCGGACCTGTGGAATGCCGAACAGTGGTCCTCTCTCGACTGCCGACTGTTGCTGTGCCAGCTCACTGTGTCTCTGCACATACCGGTGTCGCCAAATGCTAGCGGCATGCATTGTGCAATGTGCATGGTGTCCAACCCAAACTCATCACTGGCGCACAACTCTTAAAGGGACCCTCCCACCTTAACATTAGTTTTGAGTTGAGATAGCCAAGTTTGCGGCCAGGCTCAGAAACCACCATTTATCCTGGTCGCAACCCCCGCAGCTTTATGGTGTTCAAGAAATTTCTTCCCTTTACTTGCAGGGTGGGACCAGCGTGGTCCCTATCTTAACCATTACGGGAATCTGATGACGTCATCAGGCTTTCGAACGTCCGTTAAATGTTTGACTAAAACGTTTTGTAGCACGCGGTGGTATATGCTGCTTTGCGCGCAACAAATGCCGCACTTTCAAATAAAGTCGCTAGGAACAGCGGAGATCCCAAAAAGTAAACAAAAGTAAAAGTCTAATATCTTGAAAACCGGTGAATATTTTTCGATGAAATTTGGTAGATATTCGTTTTTGCTCTTTCTGAACCGAGCGACATCACTTTCATGCCAATTCATTAACTTTTTGAAGGTGGGAGGGTCCCTTTAATAGAATTGTAGCAGCGTCCAAGGACAGTATGCGCGGGAAGACGGTACATACCAGAAACCACAGGACCGACCGTAAGTGATCGCTACTCATAAACAACGCTGCTCAATCAAACCGAGCCTCGGCCACGGCAGCACTGCACTGCTCCGCTGCCCGCTCTCAGCGGCTCACCTGGCCAGCAGCAGGAGCACCGCCAGAGCCGCCCCCGGTGCAGGTGCAGCCGCCATCCCGCTGTACCAACAGCCCCACAGACCGCCCCCGGCACACCACCCGCCCGCGGCACAGCACTCGCCCGCCGCTGCCGCCGGCCCCAGACCGACTGACGGCCGGCCGGCCCGGCCCGCAGTCGGCCCGACAGCCCCGTCGGCATCGGCACAGACAGAGTCGTCGGAGCCGACTCTCAACAAGTGTTTAACTCTGGCTCGGATCGACGAGCCTCCTCAGATCGAGTTTATGGGTCAGGTCCTTGCGCTATCGCGAACTGTCAAAAACCTTGGTGTGGTCATGGACCCCGAGCTCACCTGGGAAGCGCACATCAACACCATCATTAACCGCTGCTTCGGCATTCTTATCGGTCTCATGCACATCAGACACATTGTTCCACATTCTATTTTACCTCGGCTTGTCGACTCTCTCGTTTTGTCCCATGTGCGGTACTGTGCTCCTGTATACGGTAGCGCCAATCGCACGACCATAGCCAGATTACAGAAAGTTTTTAACTTCTCAGCCAGAGTTATCTCCGGGCGGCGAAAATTTGATCATGTTTCTGATGTGCTAGACGAACTTGCATGGCTGCGTGTACCCGAGTTTATAGCGCATGTGGACATGTCACTGATGCATGGCATTCTTAAGTCGGGGAAGCCTGATGTACTGCGTTCTTATATGTCCTATAACCATGAGCACGTGTGTCGAGACACCAGACAGTCGCACCTTTTAGCCGTATGTCGTGCGAAAAACAACCATGGCAAACGTCGATTTGTGCACCGAGCCGCCTCCCTGTACAATCGAATGGCGCTGCAAAACGGCTTGGCTGGTCTGAGTGTAGCAACGTTTAAGGCCAAGATGAAGGACTTTACTGCGCCAGAGTAACGCAGTTGCGTAGGTCTATGCCGTGATAGTGTACTCTGTCACTGCTATGCCGTCATTGTACCTCTCAATTTATCTGGTGTGTGTATGTGTGTTTTTTTTTCATACCTATGCAAATTGTCATGACGATGATCGAAGAATAGCCCTATTTTAGCGGAACGATTTGATGAAGTGCAATAAATAAATAAATAAATAAACTCAACTATAATTAGTAATGCAATACAGATTCCGGTCAGACCATGGGAAGGCTCGCTTTGACCCGACCTGTAATTGACCGTGAAATCTTATCGTAAAGCTATTGAGTCTTGGCTATACCACTTCCACAATCACATGCTCGTATAGCTTTTCGAAAACGTAGCCCAAAGGCGTAAAGAAAGGAGCGTGCTCCGAGTGAACATGTGAAATGATGCTGGTCCCATGCATTATGGTGTCCCCCTTAATTAAAGGTGTTCCACCGCTACTGCTATCTGAAAAGTGAAAAAACCTGCATCGAGCCTCAAGGGATTGCTGTTCGGATAGGACCCACAACCATTCTCCGGGTGGGGGATTGATTCAAAAGGTCACTCTCAGTCTTTTTTCTAGTGCCAATGCTGCCGATCGCCGCAAGATTTTGAGCTCAAATTCGGTTACCTTTCCTAAATATTTAATGCCTACATTCTGGAAAAGCGTTGCCGGGTCAGGTCAGGCTAGGTCACTTAACCCGCGCGGGGCTGGGGTCTCCAGCCGAACGCGCGGGGCTGGGGGGGGGGGTAAATTTTACCCCCCCCCCCCCTGTTATCTCCCGAACTAATGGTCCGATTTGGAAAATTCAAATGCCAATCGAAAGATCTCATCACGAACAACTAAAAACATGTACTTAATTTTAAGTTTGAGGTCAAGGTCAAGGTCAGGTCAAGGGTACAAATTGCAAGTTCCTACAGTATCGGCCTTGCACCGTAGTTGCCGAAGAATGGAGTCATGGACTGAGACTGATCGCCCAAAACGTGTTCTTAGGCGACCAAGACAATATTCGTTGCATACAATATCATTCAGAGGTCAAGGTCAAGGTCAGGTCAGGTCAGGTCAGGTCATCAAAAACAAAATATAGAAAAGGGCATGTGCGACACATGTTTTATGGGTCATTTTACTCATAGAATTCAATAGGCACACTCATTAAGTGATATGGACCACCTCTGGATGAATTTCAGGTCGAGGTCAGGTCAAGGTCAGGTCAAGTGAGGTCAAATTTTGAGGTTGGTTGTTAAGGTCTAAAAAGGTGTCTATCTGATGCAGTTTTTCACGGCGAATCGAATGGTGCTATTTTTGTTTCCGTACGAGGTCTAGAACTTCCAAAAAAGTCATTTTTCAAAATTTTTGTGTGTCGTGACGTCCCAGCCAGCAATTTTGCTCCGGGCCCAAGCAGGCTCAAGTGCGGATTGCCCGACATTTTTAGTCGGGCTAAAGTCGGCTAGGGCTTGGGCTAAAGTCGGCGTATGACACAAAAACGCCGACTAAAGCCCATGCTCTGCCGGAGGTATGCCCGCTCTGCGAGCTCCGGACAGCCGTAGTTTAGCCCTAGTTGAGCGACGATTGGCGTTAGCCCGATTTAAGCCCGAGCAGTGAATCCATTTATATAATGGAGGTTACTCTGGGCCCGAGCGGGCTGAGCTCCGGCAAGCCCACTCTGTGTGCCCTGTCTATCCCGACTTAAGCCATAGAAGTGAATGGGGTTTATACATTGCAAACTGCTGTGGCTTTGCTCGGGTTCAGCTCGAGTGACGGCTCCTGTTTTCTCAAGTCTCGACTTGACTTCATCTTGCTTTTGCTTCACACTGGATCAAGTAGCAAGGAGCAGCCAATGCACTTTCAGCAGGTTGTGCGGTTTCAATGCATATTTAAAATTGTTACGGTCACTCATATGCTCTGTTAACCGGTCATCGAGCATTGCGAAAGGAAAGTAGTGATTGACTTTGATTGAATGTATATTTCAAGCGACTGCAGACACTCAAATGAAACACAAATACATGAAACAGTGGACTGCAAACTGCAGCAATAATATGGCATGAGTCATGAAAAAGCGCCATCAAAATTCTATAAAACAATCAAAGGCCCGCTAGCCTCCCTCCCCGTTCATAATACTTGGTTGAACACTCAACCGAAAGCATAAAGTAAGGACAGCAAGTAATCGCTCATAAGACATAAAGCAATTAGCAAACAATCGTTTATAAGGAACTTCTTTCTGGTGAATGGGAGCTTTGGAGGCGTCTGGCTCCTCCACACACACACATCTGCAGTAGGTGGTCGGCCAGCTTTCGGCGCAGTTTCCGTATATGTAGGTATACCTACTTAATTATAAGCAGGCAGTTTCCGCTAAACCACTTGGCGAGGGCGACTGCGGCGTCCACCCGATCCTGGTTTGTATAACTTTTCCATTTTTTTTTAACCATTTGCTCTAATGGTACATACCTGAAAAAGAGATTAATTGGTTTAATTTACATTGCATGTTTGCTTGAAAATAACTTATTGTTGCATTAATACTGTAAAAGCACTTCTCATTGATCCGTATAAAATGATCATTCGATTTTCGACGCGGACAGAGAATGAGCGTACTCGGTGATAAGTAGATAAATAATTGTGTTTTGTATTTCATTTTCCTGGTTCAGAAGTGCTGGAATTTCACAAAGATATAAAGGCAGGGAATGCGGCTTTTCTGAGCGAGGGTATAAATCGCCAGGCTGAACAGCTATTCAGCTTCATGTTTGATGGCGTGAAACTCAGTCAAAATCATGACGTTTACATACCATCAAGCGCACCATTCAATACACTTACCTACCGTAAAACTCCATGCTAGTCCACTTGATAAGAGCAGTGAGCACTATCCCTTCTTCGCGCTGTCACACGCGCCCAAACATCAACCACCAAATGCCCCAACACCGGTGTGTCGTTTCGTCGCACAGCGCACAGACTGTCACAAACGCTGCACATGATTGGCGCAGAACTGCGCATGCGCGAACAGCCGAACAAGTATGGCTAAGCTCCGGCTTTACTCCAGTTAGCCGAAGGACACAGCCAGCTTGATCAGCCCGCGCTCCGCCCAAGTTAAGCCTGTTTTGGATGCGCGGGCAGATGTCGGGCTGAGCTACTGCTATCCGCACGTGGGTATAGCTGCGGCATGCCCCAGCTCAGCCCTAGTAAAAAATGCATTGGTTTTGATCAAATTGGGCAAACCCAAGCTAAGCCCAAGCTGCCCGACGTTTGCCACAGTTCAGCCCAAGCGAATTGCTGGCTGGGGTCATACAATTTTGAATAACTCCCACATTTTTGACCCAATTCTTCTAAAACTTGGTATGTAGGAATAGACCACTTCTCTGACATATATTCCGGTTTTTTCGATACTCAAAATTTTGGATTTTATACCTATTTTCCCAAAAAAGTAAGTTTTTTGAGAAAAAAAAATTGGGCCAAAATTCAAAATTTTAAAAAACGGAGATGGCCATTTGATAGACAAAGTAGAATTACGTATATCCTTTTTTGTTACGTCTTGATTCCTTTAAAAATGAGAATGTTAGCGGCGTTTGAACTTTTGCCGTTTTTGAGGCGGAAATGGCTAACATGACGTCACTAAAACGTCAATTTCTCAAAAATTTTCCGACGGATTTCGCTCAAATTTTCAGGGAACGTGTCAAATTGATGTAACAAAAGGTACTGAAAGTTTGGCGGCGCTGCACTCCGCCGTTTTTGAGATATTGCAAAAATTCGCGAGGGGGGGGGGTAAAATTTACCTACCCCCCAGCCCCGCGCGGGTTAAGCGAGTTTGTTCACTTTTTTACCCCTTTACAGAGAAGACTTCATTCAATCACGCCAGATCTATAAAGTTTTTTTTTCACAGAACATTTTCTTCTCTTTATATGTTAATAAGGATGCACAAACATCATAGTAGGTAGGTATGTACAATTTGAAAACTCAGAATCTTTATAGCAGTGACCTGAAGCGGTCAGCTTCGTGATCTTTGTTGTAACGCAGAGGATCCGTCTCAGACTGTGTATTCGCGGCCGGTCACGGGGCACACAGACACAGCGCCTGAGGCGACCAATCAGACGCCCGCTGGCCGGCGCCGCTTGCGCCGGCATAGTGCACTGGAACCAAAGCAGCGGCCCGTTTACAATAAGCATTGTGCCCAACAACAACATAGGCGGCGGAACGGGGAGGGCACCGGGGTACCGTTGCCCCCTTTGATTTTGGCATTTTAA